TAACAGTAGGTTAAAGGCTTCATTCAAAAATTATGTCTCCTGAGAACAGAATACACAGAAATAATTTAAGAAGTCAGCAAGGAATGTGTGTCTATTATAAAACTGAAATAAAAACTTGGAGAAAAAAGGAGAGAGCAAAAGAACAGATCAAATTTGAAGAAAACAAAGCAGCAATTATGGGAACAAACATGCTACCAAGAAGAGAAATAAAAAACCTGGGGGCGTGTATATAGGAGATGAACTAGGAAAAGCAGAGGAAATAAACAAACGAGTGTAATTATAAATAAGAGAGGGATTTGGAAACACCATAGAAAAAAAGTGAAGAAAACGAAGCAGAATAACTAAGACTTGAGGATTTTTAACTTCTAATTCTCAGAGTATTTGAGTCTAGCCTGGGAACACTATTTACAAGTGAAAGACTTACTATTATAGTTTTCAGTCTTCCTTCAGTAAAGATGATTAGTGGTGAATTATGACCACTTATCTAAAATATTAATGTAAAATAACTGTTTTAGGGAAGGAGAAGATACTGATCATATTATCATCTGACAGTGGACAAACCATGGAATTCAATCCAGGACAGCTGCAGAAGAAGTTGGCTGATAAGATAACCCTCTTAGTTCTACTATGATTGCAGTACATTTTACTTTCCCAGTTTGGCAATACCCATTATCACCAGAGCAGTCTTCCACTCTCCCCTATAGCCTACACAGAATTGAGAGGAGTAGCAAAAAGAACCTTTTCAGAATGGAAGATTATTTCAACTTAATTCCATCCTCCTGCCACTCTACACATCTTTTTTTTGAAAAATAAATTAATCCCATTCAACCTTTCTTCATCAAAATACTTTCCCAGTTTGGCAATACCCATTATCACCAGAGCAGTCTTCCACTCTCCCCTATAGCCTACACAGAATTGAGAGGAGTAGCAAAAAGAACCTTTTCAGAATGGAAGATTATTTCAACTTAATTCCATCCTCCTGCCACTCTACACATCTTTTTTTTGAAAAATAAATTAATCCCATTCAACCTTTCTTCATCAAAAT